GGCCTCCAACCTGCCAGCGATGCCAGCGATGGCCTCCAACCCAATAGTGATGGCCTCCAACCTGCCAGCGATGGCCTCCAACCAAATAGTGATGGCCTGCCAGCGATGTCCTCCAACCTAATAGCGATGGCCTCCAACCTGAGAGCGATGGCCACCTAAGAGCGATGGCCTCCAACCTAACAGCGTGGCCTCCAACCTAAGAGCGATGGCCTGCAACCTAATAGCATGGCGTCCAACCTAAGAGGGATGGCCTCCAACCTAAGAGCGATGGCCTCCAACCTAACAGCAGTGGCCTCCAACCTAAGAGCGATGGCCTACAACCCAATAGCGATGGCCCTCCAACCTAATAGTCATGACAACCAGCTTGACAGCAATGGCCTCCCACCCAATAGCGATGGCGTCCAACCTAAGAGTGATGGCCTCCAACCCAACAGTGATGGCCTCCAAGCCCTCCAACCCACTCCAACCTAACAGCGATGGCCTCCAAGCCCTCCAACCCAATACCGATGGCAAGCGATGGACTCCAACCTGCCAGTGATGGCCTTACCCCTGACATAAACTCTGAGGCGGCTGACCCGCCCTGGCGATCGTGTGGAGCTCGTTTCCTTTTGCTAGTTGGAGAGACTGTCAGTGACTCGGTTTTTTGATTGCCATAGTTTGCCGTAGTTTCTCTAGCACTTTTGGGACTCCAAACGTTTCAGCCTTCGGATGTCAGGGCATATCATACTCAATACTCAAGTTAAACAAAGCAATTTCTGACACGTCGTTGGACCTTTTCTGTTTGGTGACGGCTGCCCTCACCAAACGTGGAGACCTAGACCGGCCGATGCTTATGGCTCCGCCTTTTCAATGGCCATACACCGCGCACCGCCGTGCACCCCATTTGGGCCGACGGTTGGAATTTCCGCTCTTCGCTGAGGTTGGTTTGTGCACATAGGCAGGCGCTGCGTGGCGGAAGGTGCGCTCGTGCGGTTTTAACAGACTTGCCCAAACTCATAGAGCAAACTCAAGAGCTATTAGAAACAAGAAGCTAATAGTAACAAGTGCATCGCTACTAGTAACAAGTGCCTTACTACTAGGGGCAAAGAAGCTAGTAGAAACAAGTGCATCGCTACTACTAGCTTCTTGTTACTACTAGTAAGGCACTTGTTACTAGAAGCGATGCACTTGTTTCTACTAGCT